TAAGTTCAGGTTAGACAGGAGAATTCAACCCATTTTCTGTTATGCTTTCTTTAAAATAGTCATTTCTAGATTTCCTATCTGGACGATTGCTTGTTCCATGTTTGATTTCTGGATTGTCGATTACATAAAACAAAGTTCAAAGTCACAAATCCACCCTGTAGCTGCTTCCTGTCTGTAGTATGCCCAAACGGTTCAAGAATCAAGTTCCTTTCCCTAACTGAACTACTGGTTTGGCCAAACGCGGGGTTCTTGTCAACCCCGCGTTTGGCCAACCAGTAACTCGAAAAGCACCTTAGACATCCTCGGGTGCCCAGAAACAATTCGTGTTGTAAGAGTCAGAGAAAAAAATAATAAAACAGCTGAGTTTAAAAGTGAAAAGTCGAATGTCGAAGTTTGAAGAAAGCTAGTGTGATTGTTCCCCAACTAACGACCGCTAGAATAAAAGAGATGGACTCCACGCCGCAGTAGCCAAACGACCCGCTTTACGATAGAAAGCGGTCATCTTTTGTGGCTAGCAGAAGCCACACAGCCCCAAAATAATTTCAGGTTAGAAAGTCAACATGTCCGTTATAAAGGTCAAGAGAAAAAGACAATTCGTCGATTAAATGCGCTAAAATAACTCTAATTTTAACAAAATGGAAATAGACACAGGAAAAGCTATGCTAAAAGTAAAAAAATAAAACTATAAAACTAAGAAAACAAATTAAACAGGTTAAACTTAAAGTAAAAGATTTACGGAACCTCCGTGATGCAGTAAAGACCACGGCGGCCGAAAATCGCCATTTCGGTCGATACATTTTTGTATGCTCATGTCATATCAGCTCGCCTCTATGTCGCGGTACCCATCTTGCGCACACCTTCCGATATTGCAAATTTTCGTTAAAATCCTATGAATGGAGCTTCGGGAAACACTAAGAATCGAAATGCAGAGATCATTCAGAGTGTTTCGTCGATCTTCCAGCCAATGAAGCCAATTTTCCAACCCGAATTCGAACTTTCGTCAAGACAAATTTCGCCCAACAACGCACAACTTTCGAACAGAGAAGCTAGATCATTTCAAGAGAAATAGGAACTTCCACCCACCTCAAAGTGAGAAAGGTAACGCACAAATCGATCGATAAGGAACAAACACTAATAATCCACCGAGAGATCAAGCGGTCAGAAATGAAAAAAAATAAAGTTTGATTCGAACCATAACTAGAAAATAAAGACCAACACAAATGGAGAAAACGAATCAATTTTACGAGAACAAGCTGCGACTCCATTAATCAAGTTTATAACTCTAAAATTTCAGCAACAATAGCCGTTAACACTGGGCTAGTTTCACTCTTTTGTTTTGGAAACTAACGGATAGGTTAAAATATACTATTATTATTAAGTATCAATTATGACACCAAAACAAAATTAGAAGGTGCTACAGGTCATGAGATACAGAATATTGGCATAATAATGCTGAACTTCAAGATAGGAAAAGGAAATTTATCGCTGCCTGTTTGCATTGTAGATTCAGGAATAATGAGTATCGTAGTGAGTGTTTGATTAGACGTGACCTAATAGTACAAGAAGGTGTGGTCCTGGACTTTGCAAACAATCGATTACTGTTTTCAAAGGAAAAAGAAGTAAATTTCTGTTCTCCATATCAAAAAAATAGAGCTCGCACGAACAAAAAGAAAAGAGAAATCTCCTAGAACTGGAATAGAAGATGTCAGGAACAGTATAGTCCGAGAATCCAGAACGAATACATTCATACTAAAAGTAGAAATAGAAAAAGAAAAAACAAAACCGTCGAATACGAAAGTAGAGAAAAGAAAAATTATAATTGTAATGGAGATAAGATCATAGATTCAGATGAGTTAAATACAAGTCTAACATTAAACCGAAATGAAATAGAAACTAGAACGGACGATACTAGTTGTATAAATACAAATAATACGGGAAATATAACGACAATTGTCGAACAAAAAATGTATGGAAGAAAAATTAATTTTGAGTTAATTTCTCATGCTAGAATATTCACAATTAATCCAATCCTCTGAAAACAAAACAGCTTTATTTCTAACTACAAAGGGTTTAATTAAAAAGCTTTACATTAAAGGTAAGCACACCTCGTGCTTCAATCATCCGCAGCCTTCCCATAGCCAAATTATAGCCACGACAATTAATAGTATTTAGTAACTTAATTAAAGTCATGATGGTTATTATTGTTTTAATAATAACAATAATAGGACTCCCACTAGCACCTTTTTCTTATGATGTCAATAAAAAACAGAATCGTTACGTAATTTTTTGACTACTGGAGTCACGTTGTCGCCGACGTCGCATTGAAGTCGCATACCTAAACGGAAGTATTCTAAAACACAAGTTAGCAGAGTAAAATTTAAAGAAGAGATCGATCAATGGAAAAATAAATAAAAAATAAAAATTTTCATTGACGCTATAGCGAGGACGTTTTTTTCTTTTTTAGCGTCAAAATTTTTCATCGAGCTATTCGGACTTTATTAGCTAATACAGTAGAGCCTCGAAAACTAGGCCTAATGTGGACCGAAGGGTGGCCGAGTTTGTGAAAATGCCGGGTTATCGGGAATGGGATTAAAAAAAATAAGTATGAGTGTTTCCTCAGAAAATACTGTACTGTACTTGTATGTATTGTTTACTTGAGAATACAACAGAGAATAAACTGCCCAAATACCCTTAAACAAAGGAAAAGTACGTCCTTTATGAAGGCATAGAGCCTTTACTACATGAAAATGAAAATTAATGAATACACTGTACAGTAATTTACCTGATAAGACAGACCTAAGAAAAATACTTTATGAGGCATAAAGCTGTCTTTATCATGAAAATTAATTAACTAAGGATTTTTTTGCCCTGCCAGGGTGTGGCCGAGTTATCCGGAGTGCCGAGTTATCGAGTGTAGCGTTTTCGAGGCTCTACTGTATTAAAACATTGATAGAGGACTACATAGATTCATTAAACGGGCCGGATTTGGCACGTGGGACGTATGTTGGCCATGCCTGCCCTAGACAGATGGCCCAAGTTTTCCGTTGCAATAACTAAACAAACGAAACGAAATGTAAAAAAAATAATTGATTTATAAAAATTTAATCGAAATTTCCTGAAGCAATGTACGACATGACGTACGTTAAAAAGATCTGAAAGTAAGTACCGAATTTCTTAGCAATTGGTCGAACAGCAAAGAAATGTAAAGCGAACAAACAAAGAAACATCCTGATTTATAATCGCACACGTCGTTCTTTATAGTTACTCACGAAAAAAAAATTCCAAAATAAAATTGATTGACACGCGTAATGCGTAGCACACGCTACGTTTATCAATCTGTAAGCACGATTTTTATTGTTGCATTAACAATAAATTTTAAGAATTGTTTTTCAACTATTGTTGAAGCGATTAAACTGTTTAATTCGGTTATCGAGAGCGATTTGTTTCAAAAAATAGATATTATGGGTAAGTTAAATTCTTTTTAATGTATAATTATATTAAATCTTTTATAACGTGTTGGTAATGAATACAAAAACAAGCATTTAATAGTAATTTTTTACGGGATATTTAAAACTCCGAATAAAAATGTTATACGATGAAACGATATTTAACTTTGCATTTATTTTTTGTCGAAGAGAATTACAGCATTAAACGTATTTTCTTCAAATAAATAAAAATTTCTTATTTTATTTCTGCATCTTTTCAAATATTTAAATATTCGGTTCGATTAAGATGAATAAAAAGAATAAAATAAAAATTACAACAACATTTCTATAATAAGATAAGATATTCAAAAGTAAGATTGGAATCTCTTGGTACTTTAAAATAATCTTATAAAAAGTTGTCACAACTGTAATCTAAAGGCTAATTAATGTATTAGTGTTTAATGTATAATTACGACTTGATTTTGAGTACATTTAACGATTTGTTCACCGAGTAATGCTATATTTTATATCTACAAAATGTTCTGGTCTATTTCATTATCTATCGATATTATTGAATAAATAAATCGATGTTCACCGCTAGATAAATGCAAACAATTCTCATTTATAAGAAAAATGTTGTGAGGAAAGAGTAACAAATGTGGCAATTATTTTTAATTGGTTAAAATTATCCATTGATTTCTCTTTCTTTTTATTGTTGTTTCTCGAGTATAAAGATATAAATGAATATTTGATTATTTACATTTTCAAAGTTAATCTGAAAATTGAATATTTTAAACTCATTTTACACAAAATTTTTATTAAATTGTATTAATGGATGTAAAGTAAGATTCTGAGTATACGCTAATAAATATCCGTTTATTTACTTCGACAAAGACTAAAACAATTTACACATTCATTCTACACAATTAATAATTCCAAATCACAATGCAAAATTCATCCTTTTATATCAAGTTTAATTTAAGAAATTTCTAAGCAGAAATTAATAAACTTTTTAAAAATTTTAATATTTATTCTTGTAAATTTGCTATAGAGTAAAGTTTCAAAATATGTTTCTAGAATAACAACTTCATATGTTTATTTGGTATAAAGTGTTTGTTATTTGCTTTGTTTCTCTTTTTCAAATTCCTATGTAATTTTTTAATTTAGGCGAAGAAAGTGTTACGAATTTCTGTGTTTATTGAATTTCCTTTTATTCTTTAGATTGCGATAAGAGAGAAGAATTTATTAATTCAAACGTACAAGTTTCGGGTGACGAAAAAAGAGTCACCTTGGAAGATTCTGTCGAGACAATGGTCCACATTATCATGGACCTTGCAGCTCGGAAGAGAAAAGAAGAATCACAAAATCGTCTTCTTCTGTAAGTTACAATTCGATGGAAATAATTGAAAATAATTTAACAATTCTTATCATTTAAAAGTTTACAACTAAAAAACTCACGACAATCGTGCACAATCTTATAAAATGTGTTATTTATAATAGCTGCAAATTGTTTATTTATAAATAAATAAATATTTTCTGAGTTAATAAAAAACACTACGAGTACTGTAAGATTATTATATCGTTAATCAGAATTTTTCACGTTTTGCAGGATTTTGCTGAAAAATTAAGCGTGGAAAGAGATGACTCGATGGAATTAAATAAAACAGGAGAAGTAATGCAGGAAGGTGAGGTCACAAAGAGATTATAAAAACTTTCCGATTCATAGAACAATTTGCTTAAAAAGTATTAAAAAATAATTTAATGTTAAATTCATTGTGTTAGAATCTGTTTAAATTAAGTAATTTAATATTAATCATCCACGTACAGTCTGTCAGGTGTGTTGGATGTAATAGTTTATTATATTCGAATCAATTCAAAATTAGCATTAATTTCAAAATGTTTATTTCTAAAAAGATTCCATTTATTTCGTCAAAAATACTAGAAATAATTATTTTTGTTGCTTAAACTTTTCAATTCTTCGCGTTGTCAAACGAAAAGTCAATTTAATTACGTTTATATAAATGCAAAGGGTTTATTATGAATAACATGCGGTATATAACCACAAAATGTAACATAAACATTAAAATTAACTTTAAAACAAGAAATAATCCGCGAAACACAAACAGAAAAACACTGTGCACTTTACTCTTAATATTTCGTTTATTATATGTTTGATTTTTTGATTCAATCAGAATTGTAAAAATCTGAACTTATATTTATATTCATAGCGATTACATTTATTTAACGTACTGTTTATACATGTGTACTGCTTTGTCATTTTTTTATAGTTTAAATATTTTATATATATATATATAAACTTTTCATCCAAGCTTAATTTGCGAGAATAAATGAATATTGGAATACATACAAATATTTCACATTAACACGGATATTTTACAATGTTACATTTGCTCCTTTTCTAATAAACTTATTTATAGTTAATGGCAGCATTACGATTTTAAATTACAAACAAATTGAAATGTAAATTATAAAATTATGACTTTTTAGTCTCGAAAGAAATAAGAAAATTTGATGAAGCCAAAACAGATATCGATCGATATTCGTGGGAGAGCGAATCCCTGAAAGATGACGATGATGATAAGGTAAGATAATATTTTATAATTTTCCTTACTTTACACTTATAAACTCATTCCCGTTTTACGCTGTACTTTTTGAATAATGTTTTGGTATTTCAAGATTTTCGTTACTAAAAATAATTTTATACATTTTAAATGATTGGCCTTAGAAATTTTATATTGAAATTTTGTATAACTTAATTTTAAATTATTTAAATATTGCTTTGAAAATGGAAAAATTTACGAAAAGACTAATTGAAATATTTCATTCTTGGAAAATTAATTGTTACAGCGAAATGATGGCATTCGATTAAAAACGTTACATAATACCAGGTTATCGGACAGCACAAAATATGTTTTAAACGGTTTTCTAGAGTGCGACTTTAAATATTTAGTGTATTTTTTGCCAAATTTGATTGGTCGGCAGATTACTGTTTGATAAATATAAAAATTTGTCATAAAAAATATCTTAAAAATTTAACATATATTTTGAATTGGTGTCTACTTCACTTATGATATTGTGCCATTTCGTACCATCCGAGTATCGCTATAAACGTAATGATGTTAAATTAAAATAATTACAATTTATATGGTCGTTACATTATAGTATTGATTTATATATTTACGTAAAAGTTTTACGTACAGATTGACCAATTTCACACATTATAAAAATTCTTTATTCCATCCTACTCCACACCATTTAAAGACTGCCTCAGATTGTCTTTCGGTGTGATAAACCCTTACATAAGACAACCTTTGTAATTATAAATCATATACTATGATATATTATAATACAAGAGTTGGTAGTACAAAATAGTGTAATAATCTTAATCTTTGTAGTTGTAATTTCCTAATTTACCAATATATTAATACTTTTTGCAGAAAACTACAAAGTGTACAGATATCTTTGTCTATTTATTTATAAAACTTCCATCTGTCATCTTCTCGTGCTGCAGAAGAAAAAAATAACTGCTTAAAAATGAAAAAGGTACGTAAAAGATTACGTAAATTATAATTATAACATGACTCTTATTTAATAAGTTAATTGGTGTAAGATTTGAAATGTTTATATTAATTAACGATAACAAGAATAAAAGTTACGATAAATGTGAAGAAATAAAAATTTACATAAAATTCAATGCACTTTAACACCAAGTTATTCTGCTGGTGAATAATTTACTTAGAACATAATGCCATAATCGACAATACCAATTCATTCCGTCATTTGTCGGATCGGAACAACATTTGAATAACAGTTATATCTAGAACAATTTCTTTATCTCGCTATCCCTGTACTTTCATTGTGTATAAAGTACCTGTGACAATAAAACACGCTGCTGTTACTCCTAAAGTCCAGAGGAGTTAATAAAATCAGTTAATGCGATAACAGAACATTTTAGCCTTCTCTTTTAATTGGCTTTACTCTCTTAATTATGAAGATAACTGTATATTATAACCATAACCGGTTTAATGAACTAAGTACCTAAAAAAAAGTTAAAATTTTGCATTAAAGACAGCTTTATAATATATATTTTAAGAAGAAACTGATATCATCACACTAAAAACACTGAAAAATCTCTTAAAAAATTATATGAGATGACAAGCAATTTTATTAAATTAATTTATGTGTTTTCTGCAATAAAATTAGTTTATTATTTGCGGCATAGATTCTAATTAAGTAAACGTAAAATGTAGACAAATGAGAAACGTATAAGCTTTAAATAATAAATCTTGCAATTATAATTGATTTAATAACGCTTTTTTTTTAACATTTTTACAGAAGAAACTGAGCTGTTGCAGTTTACTTCTTTTTATTTCTCTATATTTTGAAAAAATTTAATTTCAAAAAGCGTTTCCAGTAATTATTCTAAAATTCAATCTAAGTTNTGTTATAATTTTATTATGTGTTTAGTTAACTTAATTAAATTAATTGTTTTTAAATTCAATTACTTTATTGTTGTAAAATTTATTCTTAAAGTTTATTGCTATCTCACCTCGAGTTAAATTATTACACGAGTTCATAATTAAAAAACAAAAATGTTGATGTTAAATCTGTTCATAACATCAGAGTTTCATTTCTGACGCATCTCTCTGGTCTTTCTCAATCTATTGTGTGATGAATTTCTCATTTCCTTTTTATTCAGTGACATTTCTTGTTACCAAAGCATATGATGATAGAAGTCAGGAAAAATAAAGTGTTCAATATAAAAGAAATCAATAAATACTAGTAGAACCTGAAGAGAGTAGGGGAGATCGGGGCAACTTCGGCATGCGGGGCAAGTTTGTCAAGCGCTTTTTTAAAAAAACAAATTAAAAGGAAACTTTGGTTATAGGTTAGGCAGTTGAGTTTTATTGGTGGCTTGTTGAGTGTAGTGTTTTTATTGTTCTCCAACAAGCGTAGTTGAATTATCAAGCAAATTTTCATTTTCGTTGAATTCCATATAATATTTTGTTTCCATTTATATTGAATTGGCAGGTTTTGTTATAATTCCATGATAACGAAAGTTACTTTTCCTGTTAGAAGGATGTAACTTCAACTTATTCACGTGGCCAGATCGTGGCTTGGCATTCTGTTCTCAGGGTTGTACTTAATGTTTCGAAATCATGACTAGCGGGGTAAGATCGGCAACATAAAGCCACATTAGAAGCAAAGGATAAAAATCAAACAGATGATAAATGAAAACATGTTTGCATTTGTTATTCATGTATATATGTCTTTGAACTTGCATTTCGTTGTAATAATATTAAATGGGTGTTGGATTTGTATTTCTTTGTTTTAATAGTGAATTCCAACTTATACATTGTTAATAACATAATTTTATATACGTGCCTATCTTGCCCCATTACTGTTGCCCCTATACCAGGGGCAACTTTAATAAAAATAATTAAAATAATTACAACTTTACAAAAAGAGAGAAGTTGCCGATCTTGCCCCTATACCCGGGGCAACTTCGTCAATTTCTCTCTTCTTGTAAAGTTGTAATTATTTTAATTATTTTTATTTCCAAACTGATTTTAACCAGTTCTATAGTAAGGTAACATTCCAATAGACAATATGCAAAGCTTTTTTTTCAGTTTACAGCAGTATTTATTACACAAAATTTAAGTAAAGCTTAACATGCCGATCTTGCCCCGGTCTCCCCTATATTCTTTTTTTCAAATTGTCTCTTTTATTCCTGGCCCCTTTCCTGAATAGAGGAGAGATTTAACGAACAACAATAACATCCGGTACGAACTAGTTTTTCTGAATGTTGACTTCAAAATCAGGAAGTCTTCTGCACGAAACTAATTGTCGATTCGATTGTTTTGATAATAACTGAAATTTGGCCAAGTTTAATTATTTTGACAAGAAACTGCCATTTTTATTCTAATTTTTGTCAATTAATCGAAGATAGAATATAAATTTGCATGTTAAAATTAATTATTTGAGCGATTTTAAGTAGTAATTTACAGATAGGAGCAGTTTATAAAATAGTTCTATTAAAATAAAATTATGAAATAACGAACGAAGATGATGAAAATTTATAGGATTTTCCATGATTTGTCTTAGCTCGAATTAACTTAGATTTGAGACGATTGCTTCTGGTAAACAAGCACACGTTTTGCAATATCTTTTTTGTTGCAAATACAAAATTAATGTATTTTAATACAGCCTTATTATTTTAGTGTATCAAACTTCTCGCTACTCCTCTAGGGAGGGGTCGCGACCCGCTGATGTCTCTTTGTTAGGTAGGAAATATTAAATCGTAAGGTCTGTAGATCTCTATTATCTTGCCAAGTTGATAGCCTACTGGGCTTTATTCAGACAGGCTCCTCTTACATTATGGCACAGTAATTTTACGTTTAGCCAATCAAATATAAACACTCTTATAACCCTTTTCTCTAGAACTGTATAAAAGAAGTTTTTTTTTTTTACATTAATAATTAGAATTTTTTCTTTCCACGGTAGGTGATGCGCGAGAGAGCCCGACATACTGTAGAGTATTTAGGACAGACCACCCACGAAAAATTTGAGATTGGTCGCCCAGGCAATAAACCGTTTAAATAATCTGACATTATTTTGACTGTAAAAAATTTAAAACTGACATTTTTAGATAGTTTACTTAATAAGAAAACCTTTATAACATTATTTATTCTTAAATTCATTACGTAAAGATTTGAATTAAGCGAATTAATTTGTCTTCAAACGAGAACTATTTAACGTGTGTCTATCATATAGCCTACATTTGCTGAAACATACCATAAAGTTAATGCATTTATGGTTTGTTGCTGTCCAGTGGAAACTCAAATGGGGGGGCCAACAAAAGTTACTGTTCACTTTCATTTGGTAAATAAGACAAACAATGGGAAATAGGGTGGGAGAAGAAAGCTTGGAGTACCAGGTGAATGTCCAGAGGGCAAGACTACGTTGAAACTTGCTTTCTTACCGAAAAAAATACGTGGAAAGTGATAATCTCACTCTCCACTAGCGTTGCCATTCCTAGTAGCCTACATTTGTACTTTTCGGGTACATTTTGCCCTTTCGACTACATTGGAAATACACTTAGATTTTTAGTACATTTTGAGTACATTATAATATTTCAGTACCATTTATGGTACAAAATAATATTTCATGCCTTAACAAAAAACTGCGAAAAAATTAGTTTAATAAAGTCTCACTAGTGTCACTGCTTGCTAATTTGATTTACTCAATCACAACATACACATGGTGTATGTCGGTCGACATCAACAACATACAGATAGTTGCACGTGCAAATGTTATGACTCAGTGGTCCTCTTTCACACGTGTCACATTCTCACGAGGACCTTGACAAAATTTTTCACGCCACGTGATCCAAACAATTCAATTCTGTCAAACAAAAATATTGGACAGATAAGGAAATCAATGATTTTAAACTTTTGTCATCAATAATATCAAAATATCCGTTAAGTCAGAGTCGAATTATTACACAAAATAGTTTTGAAATTGTACAGTACAAATGATATAAATACTTTTATATTATTTTCTACCACTATAATTTAATTCTTAAAATTATGAACTTCAATTTTAGTAATCTTGGTAAAAGAAATAACTTTTTTTAATTTGAATCTGTGCACGCATATTTAATTTATAATTTTTTTTATCCATTACTATAATATTTTTAAAAAATCAACTTTTAATGCTGTATTTAACAAAAAACCATAGAAACTATTTTCATAAAATCTTTTTATGAAATATTTAATTTTAAAGTATTCATATTTAACAAAGTATTCATGAATATGAATTTGAAATGAGCACAAAAATTGTGTATGAAGGTATATTAATATTAAAAGTAACCAACCATAGAAATAGTATATTTTGAAGGAAAATAGTACATTTTTTGAAGGAGCTTCAATATGTTTTGAAATTTAATTGTGGCAACGCTGCTCTCCACATATTTTTCTTTTCATAAAGAAAAATTCCAGCAACGAGTTGCTTAACTTTCCTAGCAATATTTGGTGGTGCCATCTGTTATGATATTTTATTTTAAAATCTTTTTATATTTTTAACTATTATAAAATGGCAAAAAGCGTAATTTCGAGGGTAGGGATGGGTCTTAAAAATCGTAAATGCTAATAACGAATAAAATCGTCATTAAGTCCGACCCTACTGGAGACTCTCTTTATCTCCTTGCCCCTTGACGAGCCTAAGTAAGACCAGTGAAGAGCCCGAAAAGTTTACATGGACTAAAAGATTTCGCAGAAAGTTACAAAATTAATATGCAAGGTTCGTTGATTTTTGACGAGGAAATTATTAAAAATTGGGTATTTTGAGCAAGTAGGAAGTCGTTTTATAAAGACAGAAGGTTATATTATTTTCTCCTACTTCATTATTTTATAACAAACTAACTCGCTTGATTAAACTCTTTGTTCAACGAATTGTAGAATAGGTTAAGTCTACATCAGTGATTCCCAAACTTTTTTGAGCCACCGCCCGCACTGTACCCCTAACTTGCTTTCCCTTGTGTGAGAAAGGCTTGGAATTGTTCCCAGAAAAACTTTTCTATTAACCTCACACTTTGTGTCCTTTCTACGTTGTTCTCCACATCTAGAAACCATTAAACGCAATGTTTCTTCTTACCTCTTTTAACAAAGGAAAAGGAAAGGTTGTCAGTGACCTAACCCTCGCCTATGGTCACCTTGAGTACTCTTCCCCTGTCACCCACTTGCTTCTTTTTGCCTTCCTAGAATTACTCACCGCCACAAAGGGCGGTAGCGCTCATTTTGGGAACCACTGGTCTAAACTCAAAAGTTAAACTTATTTCGGCAGTAGCGTATCTAATTAATACCGTAAATAAGCCGAATAATTAAAAATTTTTATTAATTCGAAAAAGTATTACGGGGATTATTTGACTTTTTTACTTTTCCGGCTGTAATAAGAGGGAAAGTATGGTGATCCGGCACAAAATGACTTCCCCGGATTTTTACATTTTTTGGACTTAGGACACCTTGAAACGTCGAGAAATGCAAAATAATTCGGGGGTAATTTTTGTATGTATGAATGTTAATGCGTGTATGTTTGTGTGTGCACGAATTTGTTCACCCTATTTGAAGCTTAATAACTCTCGTGCTTTTTGTCGAAAATTTCTGAAACTTTGCAGGGAGGTACTGTACGTTTGTTAGGAGGATTGGTGCAGATATCTCTGTCTGAAAAGTAATTACATAATTACTTTAATGTGTTCCATCTATTACGACTTTTAACGATAATGTTAAACATAATTTCAGTGATGGTACGTTGGCGAGTCAAATCTCAAATTGTATAAAATTCTTTTAAACAACTAAGGATAATTGGTATTGTTCTGAGTAGCTAATTTTGTAGTTGAATATAAAATTATTTTAACTATCTTTTCTTATTTATTTAAGCATT